GTTTCGTGGTTTCTCCGTTATCATTTTCTTTAATAAAAAAAATCAATTCCTCCTTTAATTTATTAATATATTCTTTCTCTCTTATTAATTGTGTTTAAGGTCCATCTTTTCTTTGGTTTTGCCCTGCCCTTCCATATTACCTGTATTGGATTATGGTCTGCCCATTCATTAGGCAAAATTTCCACTTCTTTTGTCTCATTTGCTATCTCTCCACTCATCCATGCCATATCAATCCGTGTCCATGTTTGGTGGGGATTTGAATAAAATGTAAATTGTCTTTTTTCAGGATGTAATCTTCTCCATATATCTGTCAGATTTAGCTCTTTCATCATTTCCCTACAAATCTTGGGGAGCTCTCTCTTCCCCTTTTTATTCTTCCCGGCATTACTGTGATCCTTTTGGAAATCAGCAATGGAGTTGAAGTCCCCTACCATACAAATATTTCTTTTTTGCAATTCAACCAATTTTCCATATAGGTGTTTAAAAAACTCTTTTTGGTCTCCATTTGGGGCATATATTACTACTAAAAGAATTGGAATATCATTAATCCAGATCTGCAAACCCAGAGTCCTTCCTTCTAAGTCCGACCATATTAGCTCAGATTTCAAATCCTCTTTCACATATACTGCGATTCCCTTCTTTTTCTCCTCATCTGCTGGTGTGGTAAATAATTTTCCTAATTTCGGGCATTCTAAATATTTTTCATCCTTCTTCTTTATATGGGTTTCTTGCAGGCACGTTATATCTGCATTATGTTTAATTAATTTAGATAATATCCTTTTTCTCTTAATTGTTGAATTTAAACCATTTATGTTTATTGATAGTAATTTTTTTTCTTCTCCCATCTATTTAGTTTTGTTTTGCTCTTTGTCGTGTAACAATTCCTCTCTCTTCTTGCGCTTGTATTGATGTAGTTCCTTCTGTCTTTTGTTGTGGATAGGTATTTTCTTGGTTTCCTACCGTTCCAGTTCTATTTTTATGTCCACTGTATTCTTCTTGAAACTTTGTGTCCAATTTCTCCCTACTACTTTGCTCCTGTGGGCCCACCATCCGTTCGTAAAAATCCTGGGCTTTTTCCATAGTATCTATTTTGATTTTCCTCTCTTTCCACGACACTAACATTCCTTCTGGAATAAGCCATTTAAATGTGATTCTTTTTTTATTTAAATATGCTGCCAGAAATTTATAGTCACGCCTTTGTTCCCTTATTCTCCTCGGTATCTGTTTAAGAATCACAATTTCTTTCTCTTTGTAGGTTATAATTTTATCTCTTGAGGTTCTATATATCATGTCTCGAACACATCTTCTAGTGAATCGTATATGTACTTCCCTAGAACAATTGTGGCGTCTTGCATAATTTGTATTGACCTGGTAGACTTCATCAAACTCTTTTTGAATTTCATCTTTATCCATCTTCAATAAACCGGCCAGTATTTCTGCCATCAAGTATTCCAGGTCTTCTTCTTTTGATTCTGTCACATTTTGGAATCTTAGGTAAGTTGCTGCCTTGTCCATTTCTAGGAGGACAAGGGAGTCCTCCATTTCTTTGCTCATGCTTTTGAGATCTTCATCCACCCTTTCTAATTCCCTTTCTGTTCGTTCGGTTCTTTTCTCTACTTCTTTTATTATAACTTCGTTTTTCTCCAAGGCCTGCTGCAACACCCCCACTTTATCCTCTACTTTGGAAATGTCCGCTTTCATTTCTGTCTTTAGTTTCCCCATTTCTTCCTTCAATTCATTGATATCTGCCCTTGTTTCACTGTGGTTTTTAATCATTGTTTCTTGCAATCTTGTCAATGAGTCCTGTAAAGTTAGGAATATTGCTTGGATATCCGCATTCGAGATGCTAGTTGACTTCTCTGTTGGTAGTGTTTCCTCTATTGTTTTTTGTGCCATGGGTGAAGTTGTTGTCAAAGTAGTCATTATTGTGGGATTAACCTTCCTACCAGATTTCAAAGCAGTGGTAGTTGTAGTAGTCATTTCCTTTAAAATTTGTTTTTGTTGTTGTACAATATTGAATATATTATTCCAAATTGGCATTCAGTATTCTTAGTTCTGTAACTAAAATTGACCAAGATCTATCAACCTATTAAGTAGCTATATTCTTGACTAATTAGTAAAGTGTATATATTTTTCTCTAGTTTAACTTCAATATAAAGTAACCTTAACTATAAAATATATTACATTCACAGATAAACCCACACAAAGAAATATAATATTGGTCTAGAGAGCTCTAAGCTTATTAAGTAACTAATGCTTAATATTCTTACTGTCTCCCCATATTCCCATTCAAATTATAACAATCTCTATTAATAATAACTTAACTAAATTAATCCAATATTTTAACACTCTAATATTTCATTACTAAATGTACATATTTATCAAGAGGAAATCAGAGGGGAAAAAAAAAAAAGCAAGCATATTTCAACATAGCACACCATCAACAAGTAAGAAAGAAGAGAGGCTATTTTAGTAAGTATGTACACACAGAAAAGGGTTGAGGAAAAGAGAAAAGAAAATTCCAAAGACAAGAGTTTTTGTTTCCGCTTTTCACTTTGGAAGCTTCCACTTCTAGCACACCGGAAATGGCAAATGAAGATTTGCTGAGTAACAGCTGCCAGTAAGCAATATTCCCACTCGTTTCAGCGTTCTGGATACTGCCTATGGCGTTGCTCTGTCTTTCCCCCCGATCGGCTTCGTTCTGCTTCTGGATCCAATTTAATAGCTTCAATCCAAATGTTAGTGATAATAGAGTCTTCAGACTTCCAAAATTCTCTTTACTTCTTTTTTATTTCCGACTCTCTTCTACCTGCCAAGCTCTTTCACATTCACTAAACCAATTCTTTTGTAGCCGCTTCGTCTTGGAGCTCACAGCTGGCATTCACACAGTATTTAACAGCCTGAAATCAGTCTATTGTCAGTCAAATATCTTCTCTGCCACGACTCTCTTTCCCCCCGAGCTTGCAAACTTTCACTCACTTTTTTCTTCCCATCGGTGGCAGTCCGGACTTCGGAGCCTCCATTGTTAGGAGGCTGTTCTTGATCGTTGGGCTCTGGAGGGCTTCCTCTTCGTTACAGGGGGGTTGCTTTCCCCACACTGCAGCCCGAGGTTCCCCCACACCGGCACGGGTCTCTCCAAGACTCGAGCACCCTGAAAGATCGCACCAAACTCAAGAAAAGGGAGGCTAGAATCACGAGCGGATTTCTGCCCCTCTGACCGTCCTTGCCTTGCCACCGGAAGTCTGCATGAGAGATGTTCTTGCTGGGCCGGTGTGTCAGCTGGTAGCTGTAGGCGGCAAGGAACTCGGACCACCTTGTCATTCTAGGTGACAGGATGTTCGGGGTGGCCTTGTTCCCTGCCAGGATCCCCAGTAGTGGCTTGTGGTTGGTAATAATTGAAAAGGTCCTACCGTAGAGATATTCATGGAACCTTTTCACGCCAGAGATGACTGCTAGGACCTCCTTGTCCAGCTGGCTGTAGTTCCTTTCCGGTTTGGATAGGGTTCTCGAAAAGAAGGCGATGGGTGCTTCTTTTCCGTCTGGTAGCGTGTGGCTGAGGATGGCCCCGACGCCAAAGGGTGACGCATCGCATGTCACAGTCAGCGGCAGGGTTTCGCTGTATTGGATAAGGACTGCGTCTGATGTTAGTAGGTCTTTGGTTTGTTTGAAAGCATTTTCCTCCCGCTTCCCCCAGGTCCAGATGGCTGTTTTGTCCAATAGCCTATGCAAGGGTTCCGCCACGGTCATCTTTTGGGGTAGGAAAACATTGTAAAAGTTAATGAGTCCAAGAAAAGCCTGCAGTTCCGTCTTATTCCTTGGTCTAGGGGCTTCTTTGATGGCTCTGAGCTTTTTCTCGGTGGGGTGGATTCCCTGCTTGTCTAGGAGGTACCCCAGGAATTCGACCCTCTTGGTGCACAGCTGACATTTTTCTTTTTTAACTTTAAGCCCAGAGTCTTTGAATTTTTGTAGTACCTCCCTTAGGCAGTTTTCCAATTGCATTTTATTGGTAGCTGCCACCAGCACGTCATCAAAGTAGGGCACCACCCCTTTGATCCCTTGGAGCAGTCTTTCCATTAGGCTCTGGAAGACCCCTGGTGCCACGCTGACTCCGAATTGGAGTCTGTTACATCGGAATGCCCTTCGGTGGGTCACGATGGTCTGCGCCTCTGCAGTTGTAGCATCGACCGGCAGTTGCTGGTAGGCTTGTGCCAGGTCGAGCTTTGCGAAGACCCGGCCTCCCCCCAGTGAGTTCAGGAGGTGCTGTACCACTGGAACGGGGTAGGCACTCTGCTGCAGTGCATGGTTGAGGGTGGCCTTGTAGTCACTGCAAATCCTTACGGACCCATCTGGCTTGATGGGGGTGACTATGGGGGTCTCCCATCGGGCATGGTCAATCGGCTCTAAAACCCTTTGTGCGATGAGCTTGTCTAACTGCTCATCGATCTTGGGCTTGAGCGCGAATGGCACTCGCCACGGCTTAAGGCGGATTGGGGCAACCTTTGGGTCTAGACTGAAAGAGATTGGGGACCCCTTGTACTTGCCTAGGGTGTCATCGAAGACCTCTTGGAAGTCCCTCACAAGTGTTGCTTCCCAGTCCACCTCGTCAACGTGATGGATGCCCGTCACCTCGATTCCCAGCGATGTGAACCACTGTAGTCCCAGCAGGCTTGGGCAGTCTCTGTCCAGGATGGTGAGCGGCAGCACTTTGGTACACCCTTTAAAGGTTATTTTGAAGTGTCCAATTCCGACTACAGGGATACAGTTTCCCTGATAGTCTTTTAGGGTCAGATTTTGATTCTCCAGCTTGCGGCGGCGGATGGTAGGCACCAGGCATTTGATTGTGTTCCAGGAGACCATGGAAGGGGAGGATCCAGAATCCACCTCCATCTCACATGGTTGGTCCTCGATGCCTACCTCCACGTGCACCTTCTGGGCATCGATGGTTGAGGAGTGGCCAATGACGACCGTCTGATGGGTCTCCTCTCTCCACCGGGCCTCACTGAGCTGCTTGTTCCAGCCGTCTCGGCTCCATCGGCTCTCGGTGTGGCGGTCTCAGGTCCTGGGGGGGTGCCATCTCATCGCCGGGGGCTGTAGTTCTGCTTATTCCGGCATATCTTGGTGATGTGCCCCCGCTTGTCACAATGCCGACAGATAGCATTGAGGAAACAGCATTCTGAGCAGGGGTGATCACCTCCACAACCAGCACACTGGAACCCTGACTTATGTCCTCTCCACTCCCGCCAGTCACGTTCCGCCTGGAGTTGGTGGATTTCCTCCTCCTCGTATTCGGTGGTGGAGAGAGAGTCGATGTCGCCATGGTGGGTGGTGGTGGTTGCCCGGTGGCTGGTCTCCGTGTGCTTCTCTGGTGCCGGGGGCGTCTCAATGGCTGCTGGCCAGTCCGCTGCGTTAACCTGCCACATGCGAGCCGCCGATTTCTTGGTTGCTTCGGCTGCAGTTGCCCCGGTGATGGCTTCGGTGAGGGAGATGTCTGCCCTTGCCATTAGCCAACTCTGCAGAATGGGGTCCCTGAGCCCGAGGACGATGTGGTCTCGCAGGGCCTCGTCCATGTCGGTGAACCCGCACATGCCTCCAAGGTCCCTCAGCTCAGCCACGAAGTCGCTGATGCTCTCACCCTCTTTCTGATCCCACCGGTAAAACTCGTGCCTTCTGATAAGGGTGAGCACGGCGGGGGCATAGTGGTTCCGCAGCAATGGTTCGAGGTTGGCCCAGTCCATCGCCTTCACGTCATCAGGTTTGGCTAGGGCTGTGGCCATCTTGAACACTGCGGGCCCTCAGTGTGTCAGGAACACGGCCCTTTTTTTCTGTCCGTTGGCATCTTTTAGGTTGCTGCTTTCCAGGAACATTAGGAATCGGTCAATGTAGGATTCCCAATCCTCGGCAGCCTGGTTGAAGGGTGTGGGTGGCGAGGTGCTGCTGGCCATCTTGTCAGTCATTTCGTGCCTCTTCGCCACATGCTTGGTTGGTCTCTTGTCTCATGATCCCACCGTCGTCGCCAGTGTTAGATCGGGTAGATCGGTTCCCATTGAGATGCGAGACCAAAAGTGTTCATTCAGCTCTTTATTTGGTATATAGACCAGTACAGGACCTCGGAGCCACGGCAACCCTTCATATAGGAATTGCTCGTGGCTTGGCGGCCAATGACAGGGCTTTGAATCTCCCGCAATCAGCTCGGCCAATCGCGGTTGATTCTTAGCACGCCAATCACAGCTGTTTAGTTGGCCAATCAGGTTGCGGTCCGTGTGGACCAATCAGGATTCAGGATTTTGGAGTATGCTAATATAGAACATCTCGTATCCTAAAGTATGAGGGAATCCTCATAGAACACCTTAATTTAGTACTCTCCATAAGCAAGCATGTGAACCTTGATCAATTCTTGATGAGAGAGGGAATAAGCGAAGGAGGCCAACATGATTGTGTAGCACTACTTTATAGATGGAAGTGCCAAAGTAGTGGAAGGAGAGATGAGATGTTGTTGGGGATCCCATGCTATGGGAAGGAGGGTTTGCCTAGAACTGAGTTAACAGACAAAATTGTGAGAAAATATATTCTTGAATTGTCCCAGTCTCTCTTTTAAGACAGAAAGGGGTCCTTGCACAAACACCACCTTGGACTTTGTTGTACATAAATTTAAGGCAGGACAGTGGGTTTTGATAAAATCCTGGAAGGAAGAATCTGTACATTCC